TTCTCAGTGTTTGCTCTTTTAAATTTCCAGTTTTTTTTAGGTGCTCCTTTTTTTTTTTCTTTTGGAATGAACAAAGGTGTCCAGATTTTCTCAACATAACTTCCTACAGCAGAGAAATTATTGTGGAAAAATAATCTTGGGAAAGTTATTCTTGTCTTCCCAGTTGCTACCTTTTGAACCTTCCTAACCATATAGTCCCTGGAGTAGCCGAGTATATTTTTTTAACATTAATGATAAGATGATCTTTGTTTCATAATTTAGAAATTTCCCCCAACTCTGTGGTCTGCCTTGTGGCTCTTTTTACACAGTTGCCTATAGAAGCTTTGCAGCTTTACCTTGCAAGGGTCTTTATATTATGTTTGCTTTTTTGTTTTCCTCTATTTTTCCCTTTTATATCTCCACCTATTTCTCATGGACTCTGCAGCTCTTCTTTATCCCCTTCTTTCACAAATACTGTTATTTCTTATACAATCAGGAACTGGTTTTGGGATAGTTTGTAGAGCTCCTATCTGCTACCAAATCTTCCTTTTCTGAGATGTCTGTTCAGGTGACTGTATCAGCTTTCATGTCCTAATCACTTATTATCTATGTCTCTGTAAAGCCCAGGTACTCCCCACATTTCATCAGTTATATTGTGCTGACACCATTCCTTTTCAAACATCTGAAAGAGTGGTCAGACATTGGAACAGGCTGCCCAGGGAGGTGGTTGAGTCACCATCCCTGGAGGTGTTCAAGAATGTGTAGATGTGGTGCTTCGGGACATGGGTTATTGGGTTAGGTGGTGTTGGGTTGGACTTGATGATCCTTGAGGTCTTTTCCAACCTTTATGATTCTATGATCTAACATTTGTAACTCCCTTAAATGTAATTCTTCTGGTTAGTATCAATCTTCTTTAGTAGCTGTTTTCGTCATAGGTGTATTTGAATTGATTACCTAACAAAAGTTAATCTCTGGAATCTCTGTGCACAGTCTTTTTAATTTTTTGTCTGCCTTTGTAAATTGAACTAACTATACAGCACTAAAATCCCCGTCTATAAGGAAAGAATAAATAGGGCTTATTCTTTACAAGCCAAACTCTGAAGAGAAAAATGAACGTTAGTATGTGTTTCAGCACAAAGGAATGTTATACCTTGTGGCATCAAACTTAGATTTGAAGTCCCAGACAAATCAATAATGTTATCCTAACACTGTTGAGTGATATCCTCAGACCTCTTCCAACCTCTTTGTGAAAGTGCCTGTTTTAGAGAGTTATAAAGGAGCCTTAAATCATTTATTTGTATAAGTGAAGAACTATGCAAGCACAGAGGCTTTCCTGACACATTTACAAACCAATTTAAAAAAAAAAAAATAGGTAACATAAAGGCTGGAAAATGAGAGAGATCTATAGCATCCATCTGAGGAGGGTCAGATAAAGATCTTAAAAGATCACACAGGAAAGCTGCTATAGACTTTTTGGGAGTGACTCCATGTTTGATCTTAAAATATTTGGTAGTGTAGCTGAAGTCTTGTAAGCTATGTGTATGTATGAAATCATTTATCAAGGCAGATGCAGTTAGGAAAGCCTCTGAGATCCTTTGAGGGGTTATACATTAAGAAGTTTAAATAAAGACCTGATGCTAAGATCTTATAGCTAATATTCTATACAAAAAGTGTGTTACAAAACAGAAGTTGCCGTGTATTTTGACTAGAATGGAACTGAAAAGCAGTTACTGTGAGCATTATCCCAGAAAAGAGTTAATTCTGGTCCTGATTGAAGGTAAATGTAGATCTTGACAGAATTCTTCAAAATCAAGGAGTCTGTTAGGAGGGAAGGTTTTTCAAAGTAGTGCAACAAAGTAATAAAAAACCAAAACACGACCCCTCTAATTTCTTCACAGGTAGTTAAATAAAGAAGCTATGTTTCTGTTCCATTATAGCAGATTTTTCAAAGTAGTGCAACAAAATAATAAAAAACCAAAACACGACCCCTCTAATTTCTTCACAGGTAGTTAAATAAAGAAGCTATCTGCTTCTGTTCTATTATAGCAGAATTAAGAGAAAACAAGAAACCTTACATAGTTTCGAGGTATTCAGATTTCTGAATTGATTTTTAAAAGCATCATATCCAGATATGTATGTACACAGTATCATTGGGAAATGATAACAATAGTACAATGATAAAATGCCATTAAAGAATAATTTACTTCAACATACTGTTTGCCTTTATATCAGCACCTTCCTTATTCCCCCATGGATAAGGACTGCTTTGTGTTTTCTCAGAACGTCAGCACACCTGTGTTTAGTTATGTTCTGAGTGTGTCTTTGTGCCCTTGTGCTTTACACTTACTAACACCCATAGTATTAGCTGTTCCTAGACTAGGGAATACCACTGGTCATGGACATTGTGTTAGATATTACATATAAAGAAAAATATTTGTTAATATTAGGACATCTAGAAATAAGAATAATGAAGGAAAAAGAAGTTGTACTTTTCCACTTTTGGAAGCCTTTTCAAAATACTGTGTTTTGTTGTACTTCTTGTTGTAAAGAATTTCTTATTGATAGTCCTGGTCATGTGCACACAAGTATCTTTGTGCAGTCGTTGTGGAGTTGGGTAAATAATGCTGTTTGATCTTTTTCTGAAAGGTTTCGTCATGTGTTTTTGACATGAAGACATAAAGCTTTATCAGTACCTAGTGACAGGGTGAAAAAAGTGATGATACTCCTCCAAATTCTACTTACAAAATGTCCTTCACTACAAAATGCATTGTCACTGTACATGAGATACTAAAAATATTAATTTTTGGTTTACTTGGCTCTTCTCAGAATTTCTTCAATAACATCTCTGCTTTAGTATTTTGGGTGTATTCCTTCTTGATTGGAGAGTAAAAGAAGAGCATTTCCCAAATGTCATTCATTTTTGCCACAGGCATGAGGTAACACACTAAATCACGGATTGGTGATTCTTCCTCATTGGTCTTATACATGGAATAGGATAGATGATAACACCACCTTTTAGTTCAAAACCATAATGATGATAATTTAGCAATTGATAAGGTAAAAGGAGCTCTCTGAAGATCTTTATGACAATATAGGGGTTGTCCACAGTCACGGTTTATAGAAATACTGTACAATTATGACAGACAGAAAAAGCAAGCTGAAATGGAGTGTGAGATACTGATTTCAGAGAAAGGCCTGATATATTGACTTTTTTCAGCTGTAATCGGGACTGGAAACTAGTGATATTAAAGGAGCAGTAGAATTATCTCAACAGTACACATGTATATATAGAGTTTTTTAACTTTTCCAAACTAAAAAAACCCCAAACCACCAATCAATCTACCCCCTCAGAAAAAACAAAACAAACCAAGTTTATTTCCTCTTTTGTTCTGTGTCAAGTTTGCAACACCAAATATCAGCTCTATATAGAAAAGTACAAAATCTTTTGAAACCAGGATTATCACTTCATAAATAATCAGAGCTAAATGCCTAGAAAGATGTTTTTAGAATTCTTGTATTTTCTTCCATTAATTTGAGACACATATGCCAGTTAAAGGAGCAAATGTTCATATTTGCCTTGTAACTTTAATTGCCTAGTAGTCATTAGATTCAGGATTTTGTTACTGGCAAGAGAAAACACGACATTTCTGTAGAGTCAAGAATTTACTGGTAGCCTAATTAAAATCTTAACCTATTAATCAAAATATAAAACCCAGCTATTATTAGTCTTTTTACAAGTGTGCATTTCTAGTCCAAATGAATACAGGAAAGTCTTCTTAATAATATGCCATTTTTTAAATTAAAGAAAACTTATTAATATCTAATCCTTTTTTTCTGGTATTATGCTCCCCTCTTTAATGCCTTTCTGGTTCTAAAGTCAAAAGCACCGAACTTCCTCAAGAAGAATAAGGGGTAGAGGACACTTACAGCAAGTCATCTGTATGCTGAGGTTTTCCCTGGGAGGAATGCAATGTTTATAGTGGGGATTTCTTCCTCAGTCTTGTGGTTGACCTTTTGGCTCTTCTAGGTGATTTCCTTATATCTCTTTCTCTTTGTTTCCTAGCTTCAATTAACATAAATAGTTACTGTTTGTTACAAAGTGCCCAGGTTTGTCAAACCTTTATTACATCAAAGTCAGAAGTTAGGTCGGAAAATAGTCGCTTGACCTCTAGACGACTGTTTAAAAGAGGTAAAGCAGTTCCGACTAAAGCGAGCCCAGAGGGGGCTAAGTGCTGTGCACTGTCAGGCTAGTACGTAGCCTGCAGCCATTTACTGCAAAGAGCAAAAAATCATATTTAGTGGTTTATATATTTGTATTGTTTGTCAGGACCATCATACCTAAAAGAATGAAAAACTGATACCTATTTGTAAAATAATGCTGCTTCTTTTTATGTCATTGTTTGATTTTAGCTTGGGAGCAACAGTACAGTTCTCCTGTGATGAAGATTATGTGCTACAAGGTTCAAAAAGTATCACCTGTCAGAGGATAGCTGAAGTTTTCGCTGCATGGAGTGATCATAGGCCTGTGTGTAAAGGTAAAGAGGAATTCTTACCCTTTTAGTGATTTGGTCTTTCAAATCTATCTATTGTTTGATAGCCAACCCTATTAAAATAATATTTGTAAGTACCTGAAGCTTTAATCCTGGTGTTCTTTCTTAGAAGTTCTCACCTATACTGTTTTGTTTAATATGAACTTTGTATTTCAGTATTTTCAGTATATTCAGCTATTTTACTTGGGAACTTACGTTATGAAGTTCACTTCATAATGAGCTGATGAAAATCTGTCACATACTAAATATTAAGACTCACCGAGATGGGTTTCAAAATTGCAATGATTCAATATACAGCTGATAGTATAGCTGATAGTAAGCAGATCAGAGACTTGAATTTAGGATTGATAAGGACTGGAAAAGTAAATCTATACATGGTTTTGACTCTGACCAAATGGACAAAGGGCAAAAAATACAGAAAAAAATGTATACAGAAGAAAAGCACAAGTCATTGTGCTGAATATGTTTGATGTCCACAAACTGTGGCAAGAAGTATGACAAATACCTGAATCAATGAATTAAAGTATTGGTGTGTATATATATATATTATGTGTAGGTTAGTGTATATATAATAAAAATATTAGGGTGTATATATACATGTAAGTTGGCATAACAGCAAAGCCTAATATTGAAGAGTACAGTTTGTTCACAAAGAACACGAGTACGGGAAACAGAAGCGACATTTATCTTGTAATTCAAGGCTATGGATGATTATACTAAAGTCCAGAGGGAACTGAGATGTTTCTGAAGAGTGGAAGAGGGCATAAAAATCTGTGGGTGGTATCCAGATGGTGTATATTAGAAATCTACAAAATCTGTAAATCACATGTGTGGTGTTTTTTTTTTTTTTTTGGTTAATAAAGTACCAGGACAGTCTAAATGAGACTCACTATGGATAAGAATGAAGTGCTTGATATAGGTTGGAATAATCAGCTACCAAATCTGAGAGGAAGGAAAACTTACTAACTTGCAGAAATAAGTTTACAATGAAACATGGTTGAATATGCTTCAATAATAGCATATCACATAAATAGAAATTTCACTTGTATATGTGGAAATATATGTATTAACATTTTCTATCCTAGTACTGTGTACTGTAGTATGTATAATTATATAATGTTGGAGTGAGTTCAGAGGAGAGCCATGATGATGGTCAGAGGGCTGGAGCACCTCCCCTGTGAGGACAGGCTGAGAGAGTTGGGGTTGTTCAGCCTGGAGAAGAGAAGGCTCCAGGGAGACCTTAGAGCAGCCTTCCAGCACTTAAAGGGGGCTACAGGAGAGATGGGGAGGGACTCTTCATCAGGGAGTGTAGTGATTAGGATGAGGGGTAAGAGTTTGAAGGGTAGATTTAGATTAGATATTAGGAAGAAATTTTTTTCTGGGCGGGGGGTGAGGCAGTGGCCCAGGTTGTCCAGAGAAGCTGTGGATGCCCCATCCCTGGAGGGGTTCAAGGCCAGGCTGGATGAGGCTTTGAGCAACCTGGGCTAGTGGGAGGTGTCCCTGCCCATGGCAGGGGGGTTGGAACTCGATGATCTTTAAGGTCCCTTCCAACCCAAACCATTCTGTCTTTCTGTAAATTGCTAAATAGATATACACACACAGAGACATGCATACATAGCAGAATTAACCGTGTAATGCACATAAATTAAACCATTATTTATAGTAAAACTAGTAAGCTTTATCCGCTAGAGTTTTTCAGTGTATTAACATATCCTGAATTAGATACCTATTTTAGAATGGTAGTCTCCTTATCTTCCCATGTAACCAGCTGGGTGTTGTATACTTGTATAAGGGTGTTCATGTGCACTGTTAACCAGTGTGACATCATCTATTAGTTTTGTCTGTTGCTTGCTCACTGAAAGAGGTTGTCAGACACAGCTCATTAAATCAAGGACCCCATCTCCCACTGTAGGTGCCTAAAGCTATGTAATGATTTTCTCATCTATGGAAATGAAGTTTCAAGAAAGATATGGACCAATGAAAATAGGAGAGAAGAAAATATTTATAACTATGAAAATTCTCTAAACACCAGCTTAATATAAGCAAGTGGGAAAGAATTGGTCTGTTTTGATCTAGAGAAAGAATAATCCAGAGGAAGAAGACTGAAAGCATAAAATATAATGGGCTACAATTGTGCAAAGGAAGGTTTATGGTTGGACACTAGCAAAACTTCTGAAGGAAGGGGTATTTAGGTATGTGAGTATATGTTTTCAAGAACATGTGAGAGATATCTATATATATGTATCCAGGAGAGTTTAAGTACATGTAATCTCATCTTGAGCTGGGGTAATGGTCTAAGTATCTTCTCAAAGTTCTTCCAGTCCCTATTTTCTCTGTTTTATAAATGAAAGAACACCCAGATTTCAAAACTGGTTCATGAAAAAAGAAAACAACAAACCATCATTGCGGTCACATGTGAGTGTGGCTGATGAAGGTTTTATGTATTTCTTATATGATAACCATAATAAAATTACAACCTGAAGATTCTTGGCTTTTATATCCCACAGAAATAGTAACATAAATGCTTTAGAGTGTCACTAGTTGCATTACAGTTACTGATTTAAGTACCTTTAGTGTGCTATAATTTTAGATTTTTTGATCAAGATGTTTCAGTTAGACTCTTAGATATACTAAAGCTGGAATAGAAGTGTTTCTTCCAGACTGATAATTATGTATTCTCTAAATTTTGTGCGTAGAACATACAATAAACATTTTGAAAGAGTTTTGTGTAAGTAGCATAAAGATTACATAGCAACAGGAAGAAAGTATCTGCAAAAATATGTGTGCATCTGCTTGTTGAACTTGCATGTTTGTATATAAACCATTTGGGCAAACAAATTAGGCAGTCATGCATAATGTTATTTAATGCAATAAATAAATTAATATTGTGAACTGATGCAGATATGAGGGCACAGGTGGTATATTAGGTACTTCACCTGTTTTTCTTTAAAATGTCACTAAAGCGCTGCTTTTTATCAGGTGGTGTTTCCTGTTTGAACAGTACAGCTTGTAATTTTCTTTCACTTATAAAAATTATATTGTGCACACACCAAAAATCCCATAGTAATGATACGTTTTTTCAAAAATGGCATGTTAATATCAATAATTAGTTAACATTAATATACTGCAATTGGTCAGAGTTCTAAAAAGGAACTTTCTAGTTCTGTTAGACACATTTGATTTGACACCATAAATCCTCAGGACTTTTTCTCATAGGGCATATGAGTGGCTGACTATACCTGCCTGCCAAAAATGACAGATTAGCTCTCTTTAGGAGTTGTTATATAACAACAGCTGGAACTGGTGTAAGATCATATTAATGAAAGTGAATCTGGGATAAGTCTGAAGCATTTCTATAGGAGAAATTTAAAAGGACTTTGAGAAGGAAAACTGATACCTCACTTCCAAAATAAAAGTAAATATTGTAGATTATCAACATCTTTTACATCTTAACACTAGTTTCCAGGAATATGCTACTCTGGAGGTCTGGCTGATTTCTGATCCTTTTGACTTCTAAAGAGACTGTGAGAAAATTGTGAAGTTGTATCAAATGTCCTGACTAGATTTAATTGCAGTCGTATTATCTTGTAGTTTGCCAACAGTTATCCTTTCTTTCAAATATTTTTTTAAGTATATTTTAAATATGTGTTTTAATTTGTCTTCCATCACCCTAGCAAAATAGCAGTTGCTTGGGTAGGTGGACCTGATGAAGAAATATGGCAGAAAATCCAGGCACTTTCCCCATTGTGGTTTATGGACAAGGTATATTGAAAGGAAGTTAGAATTTGGAGGTAGGAGGAAAGTATGGCTTTCTGTTGTAAGCAGGCAGATAAATTAATATAAGTAGCAGCTGAAAATTAACTTCTGGATTTTATTGAAATTTTGAGGTGGATTCCTCCTCTCAGACACTAGAGTTTTTAGTTGGGCTTTTTCAAGATCAATGCATCATGCAAGCCTGAAATTCTGCTGGGGATTTTTAAATTTGTTCAAATTCAATTGGCCTCAAGGAAATCTTGTAGCATACCATTGTTAAAGGACAGCAGAACAAATGATGCATTGCATCCTTCCCAAGAAAGGGGGGGGGGGGAAACAGGTCAAAAAATGACATGAGAATATTTGCCCAGGCATTTACTGCACACTGAGTTACCATTGAAGTCTGCTGATTGAAGGATGAAAATTTCTGCAGTCGTTAATAATGTCATATCCCAAGAAATGCTTAATATATATGCCTGTAATAACACGACTGCTTCTATTGATTTGTCTGTGACTTCATTCAAGGGAGGTAGTTCAAACACTTCAGGATTGAGACCCTACTTATTTATCTGCCATGGGATTCAGTGTTCCCCTACAGGGCAATGCCATTATTATAAAGCCAACTTGCTTAAGCAAAGACAATTATCTACTTTATGAAAGTATTTGCCAGTTGATAAATCTCTTCCTCTCATTTACGTTTCAGGAAATGAAACAGATAGATCTATTCACAGTTGGTCGATTATTTTCGTGCCTGCCGCTCCTGTTTTCTACTTGCTTGTTTCTCAGACCCTGTGAAGCATGAATGCTGCCTTTTATAAGTCTGCTGGCAAGTCAGCAGCAAGTTCTGCAACAAGTACAGTATTTTGGAAAAGCTCATCTAATCTGTAGAAAGAAAAAGTGGTTTTGAAATAATTCTTTGTATCTGAGAAATCTAAAGGAGAGACACAATTTATGGTTTAAAACATGATAATCCAATTAATAGGCGGAGTACAGAGTAATTTATCAGTAGAAAAAGGAACAAATGAGACTATGTATTTGAATTGGGTATTGCAAATTTAAAACAAATATTTTTTTCTTCATATTGTTATTTTGGTCAGGTCATTTCACTGACTAAAGTGATTTCTAAATCAGCAATGAATTCGTCCACTCAGTATCGTTGGTTTGGTAGATTGTAAACATCGGTTTGATTAATATGGATATGCAAGCAGAATGTACATTATGAATTTTAGACC